CCCCAAAACCCCAAAACCCCAAAACCCCAAAACCCCAAATAATCGCACCAAGATTGAAGCTTCTTGGAATCTTATTTTTCATCAGTGGACGGGTTTGAAGAATTTTTATCAGAACTTTGAGAGATTTAAATATTCTATTGGGATTCTAAAATCGAGAATTAGAGCCTACAAAGATAAATATTTGCTGTTTTATTCAGTGATTCTGGCCGGAGATGAAGAGCTTTGAAATGTGTTATTTTGGTACGTTGTACTTTTCGATCGGGAAGAAATCAATTTCGAGTGGTGTGTTCTGATATGACGAAGTCAGTTTCCTTTCTGAGTAAACGTAGACCTTCACACCGGGCATTTGTAAGGCTGGATGCCTAAATGCATTCTGGCGTGATCTCTAAAATTCCAGCTCCTATCAAACACTTTGTCTCAACCCTTATAACCTCACTTTATCACTCGTTTTCTTCTTAACTTAGAATCTTCAGCACCCAAGTACAGGATCTTGTGCGGGAAGTTCTTTATTGGAACCTCTGGGCTTCCAGATTTGTTACTGGGTGGCAGCTTAGAGGAGCAAGTGGGATTGGAGTGGGGAGAGGGAATTTGGTAGTAGAGGTTTGGAGGTGAGGGAGAACGAATGGGAGTGGAGAGGCTTTGGGGGTGGATAATGGGAGACGCCAAGTTCTTCTTTATTGCAGGATTTTTTCGTAATACTTCATAGTCATCTTTGTGATCAATTGTCTGCATTTCCCAATCCGAAACTGTTTCTCCAGTACTCTTTTCTATTTCGGAACCAAAAACGAACAAATTTGGAACGATATCTGTAGATTGTGAGATCGTCCACCGCTCTTTCTGATGTACCGAGCTTGGTGCTCACAGTATCGGAAGAATTATACCATTGATTTTCATGAAGTTTACTGGTAGCTCAAGAGGCCTGGATAAAGATCTACTTCTTTCTTCAGCTTCTACCTCTTGCACTATTTTATTGACTTTTTCTTCGAGATCGGACGTTTCAGACATTAGGAGTACCTATAATTAATTCAAGATTCAATACGAAATTTTTCTTATGGGGTTTTGGGGTTTTGGGGTTTTGGGGTTTTGGGG